TGGGCTCGTAGAGGGCCGAATTATCCCAGCCTCTAGCATCTCCTTAATAAGCCTTTCTATTTCATCTTTCTTGAGGATACCTATAAGGCCTTACACTTATAGGATTGTTGTTCTTCTTAAGAATAATTCCATGTTCGTGCCCACGGTTAGGGGGAAGCCCATTTGGCATATGGAACACGGGCCCAAACTCATCCAGTAAGCTCTTCAAATATTCAGGGAGGTCTTCTTCCACCAATTCATTCTTTCCTGCTTCCACCATCTCACTCATCTCAGCTTCAATTCGATTCACTTCAACCAGCAGCCCACCTCGACTCTTACACAAGGTTCCAAGCATCGCCTTCAACGACACCTTGCTGCTCTCCAATGATGGGTCCCCCACTAACATCACCAGAGCTCCTCCGGCGACGGTGAAACGCATAATAGCGTCTTCCAATTTGTAGTCACCGCATCGAGCTTCTCCAACCACTGAACGCCAAGAACGACGTCCGCGTTTCCCAACCCCAAGGGCAGAAAATCCTCAACAATGGTCACGCCACCACTGAGCTTCAGTTTCACTCCTCGGCACACTTCCCTGCCTTTGACCGTCTCCCCATTACCCTAAGAGACGTCAAACTCCCCTCCTTCATCAAGCAGCACTCCACTTTCTTCGATGACCCTATGAGAGATGAAATTGTGGGTGGCGCCGGGATCCACCATCACCACCAAAGACGCGCCGTGTACCACCCCCTTTAATTTCATCGTCTAGGGGTTAGAAATCCCCACCACCGAACACAAAGTGACTCCTACCGCCACCTCCTCTTCCTCGAGCTCGGTTTCTTCCTCCTCCCCCAACTCCATCGGTTCTCTGGCCACCATAAGGATGCTCAGCTCCTTCCGTTTGCAACGGTGGCCGACGCCCCACCTCTCATCACAACGGAAACAGAGGCCCTTGGCCCTCCGTTCTTGATACTCTACTTCTGTGAGCCTTCGTGTTTCTGCCAGACTTAGAAGTGTGGCTGGAATTGGGCCGGCCCACACTAACTTGAGACTCTGCTGGTTTGGACCAAGTTTTGGTTAGGCCCAAATTACTGGGCAAGCCATATGTCTGAATGAGCCCACCCCCTCTACTTCCTGACCCACTCGGATTCGAAGCCCCCAACCCCGACCCAGGCTTCCACGACCCGACTATCTTCTTCCCCCCACTAATTCGGTTCCTCTCCTCGATCCGACCCGCCAGTTCCATGGCATGCTCCAAGGTCGCCGGATCCAAGAGTCGGAGCTCCGCCCGAATTTCCTCCTTGAGGCCGTTTATAAACTGCCCTTTCATCAAATTTTCGGGAACGTCATCCAAGGGAAAAGCCAATTCAATGAATTTCCGCCGATAATCCTCCACCGTCGACGTCTGCCCCACCGCCAACCATTGCTCATGTAGCGTGCCGGCGTGGGTGGATCGAAATTCCTTCAACAACCTACACCTCAGGTCCGCCAATGATTGAACTGTCGTCGACGTTGCTCCCAATGGTACCATTGGAGCGCCGGTCCCTCCATAGCCACCACCGAAGCGGTCACCCGTTCCTCCTCCGCCACCTGATAATAGTCGAAATACATCTTGGCCCGCATCACCCAGTTGTCGGGGTCCTTTCCTTCGAAGACCGGCATTTCCATCTTTTTATGTCTCCATTTTACACCGTTGCCACCCCCTTTATCCTGCCACCCCCGCGGGTCTTGCCTCCTCCAATCCGGCATTCCGAAACCCCCGGCCGGTGTGTTCACATCATTCTCACCGTGGTTGTGGCTGTTCTCAACGTGCACCACCTCTATGAAATTGTTGGTTTGAGGTGGGTTAGTTTTGGGCTATGTCGCGGCGGCCAGGCGGCGCGTATCTCCTCGCGTAGCTTCTCGTGCTCCTTCGCTACTATCGTTGCCTGCAAGTCCTGGTCGTTACGAAATCGGTCAAAACGACCTTCAATCCGCAGCCGGTTTTCTTCCTGTCTCTTCTGCTCCGCTTCAAAGAGGGTCGCAAAATTCTCGGTGATGGCCTTTTGAGTTTCATCCATGGCCTTGCCCACGGCCTCTGCCTACGGCGCGCCCAATGGACACGTCCTAGTCAGTGAGCTTATCTTCAATTGACTGCAGCCGTGACTCAACCACTTCTAGCCTTTCGTCTGCCGCGCCGGCGCGCTGACTAAGTGACGGCCCCCCTGCCATGACCGTGCCTACTCTGATACCAAGTTGTCAAGGACTGATTTTTCGCACACAATTATATGTAATTTTAGTGACTTAATTTAGAGGAAGGCTTGTATACTTGATTGATTAATTCGGGAAACTAGCTGATTACAAAAGATAGTCAATGGCTTGAGGCCATAAGTCTCATGGGTAGCTTGAGGCTACTACTCTCAAGTGTTTCCTCACTATTTTCTCGATGCCTGCTACTCTCTTACAAACTAGTTTAAATACTCAAGCTCTTCTCTCAATTACAAGCCCTAATATTAATTAAGATTGTCATCTAGTAAAAAGCAAAATAGACATAACAAAAAAGTGTCCCTCTTCCATGGCTAGAACTCCTTGTCTTCTTTCCCGATTCGGCTTGCCACCCAAATGCTCTGTTCTTCATGTCCCCTTTCCTGTTTCAGCTTTGTTGTTGACTTTGTTTGCTCCCCTTTCTTTACCGTTGGAATTGAAGTAAAGTCCACTCAGCTTGGGCCTCCTTTGATAGACCCGAATTGGTGTTTGGGCCATCCTAGCTGACTGGACTGATTGCACATGTGGGTCTATAACATTACACACCTCAAGGTGATGCCTCATAGGATTCTCTTAACACACCTGGGGACAAAAGGGGATTGCAAAGCTGCATCTGCATCCTTAGGTACTTCAAGCCAGACAAGAGATTCACAAATCTTTATCAGAATGAAACACCATCCTGCACCACATTGTCTAGCCTAGTGATTGAAAAATTACAATCAGCCTTTGATATAGCAACACTTGGGAGACAAGGAGCTGGAAGCCTAGAAGGTAACATAAAAATTTCTAAACACCAGTTATACAAAACAAGTTATACTATGGACTTATGGAGACTAGTACTTTCTCTCAAGCATACTTATTGCATCAATTTATTGCCAAGTTCACTGTACTAAAATCCTTAACTTTCATAAGAATTCCACACGGGAAAGTACAAATGTCTGTATAATCCTATATCCCTAATGACCACTTCAGCTTTACAAGCTTACATTTAAGCTTTCCTTGTGATTATCAAAATAAGAAGTTGACAACTAATTCTAAATTGGCCTAAACTCCATATAAAGGATAAACTAATATCTAAATCTTCCCATACCAGCTAGGAGCTGAGTTCAAAAATTAACCCAAAAGTCCATTCCACAGGGTCAGACATTAAATTTGGAGATCATAACCAATCAACCACCAAGTAACAAATTTCATTAATTCATTCTAACAACATTGAAAGTGTGATAGAGCCTCGCGTATTTGGTCTATGGTCAGTATCAGTACTTTTTTTACTAGAGATACACAAGGGGACTTAAGGAACTCTTCTCTCAAGGATAGGTTTGACCTTTGCATTTACACGAATTAATCAACTACTGTACTAAAAACTCTATCCATTCCTATACATATATATTCACATTTTTGCTTGTAGTACAAAATAAATTTCACAATCCTAAGTTAACTCTATCATTAAAATACTTTCTTCCTACCTCTTCCATCCCATCAATACTTTCTCGATCCCATACTCTATTTTACTCAAAGCATACACTGTTCTTAGCCTTTGTTATTTCATCTAAAAATAAAATTTTACGTACTCCATATCTCACCACCCACCTCAAAACAGATATAATAATCCTCAGTAGTATTTTGCAGAAATGAAAAGCTATGAACTCCTATACATAAATAGCACCCTAGCTTCTAGAAATTGGAGCACCTCAAGGCTTAGGCTCAAGCTCAAGCACTTTACAAATAGAGCTTCAGCACAGCTACAGGAATAACAAAAGCTAACACAATCATAACCATTTGAAGGTCAGCAGAAACAGTCTCTATTGTGAACTACTTGCAGCTTTAGCAGTCAAATTGTAGGTTCAATAATTTTCAGGACAGATAACCGATGAACCTTGATGCTGTTGACCAAGAATATATCCCCTATGACTATCCTTTACTCCAAAAATTGCAGATAAAAAACAAAAAATATACACAACCAACTCAATTATGCCAAAACATTAATTGTGCAGTTTCTGTACAAGTTCAACAACCTATTCTATTCAGGCTATGATCTCAAAGCAGCTTTTGACACGTCCATAAGCAACTTTCATACATATGTAGAATTTCCAAATGTCTCTATTGTTCTCCATCTCAATTCCATAACTGGCATGAACCCAAATTACAGCCCACTATAATTGGCAGATCATCAATTGATTTTACTAGTCATTAACTCTCTTTACTTCTTTTCTCAAGTCCTTTAGAAACAAATATCCTGATCTCACAACATGCTATGTCAGGATATCTTCGTGTGTTTTTGCTGTCAAACACAACTTGTTATTTTAAGCTTTCCCTAAACTAAAAAATCACAGAATGCGTACACTACAACTCAACTACCTAAAAACACCAGAAATATCAAAATAATGTATATATCAGGGGCCTCAAGCATCTATAGAGCCTGCTTCAACTGGGTACAGTACAAACCTAATGCAAACCTTTGGAATAAAATAAAGTATCTACAGTGGGAAAATTTAATGGACCAAAAAGGGCACATGCTCTTGCAATAGAAAGACAGACCTTAACTGAGATTGAAGTTACATAACACAAAAGAACACCTCAAATCTCCACCAATCAAGAAAAGGATGAGCCAGCCATATCAACTACACTAAATCTTCATTAAAATATGGTTCATTTGTTAAGTTCAGTACAAGAGAAAACACATAACTTGTATACAGCTACCAACACTCCCACTTGCCATACAACCATTGCAATGCGTTTAATATCTTAACTGACGATTGGCATGAAATCCATTGTATTACCTCGAGTTTCTCGAGCAGATGATGAATGGTGGAATCCGCTAGCCGATGAAACTCGTCTTCCTGAAGCACAGAACTGTTTTCACATCAATTATTATCACAATTGCATCGATATACACTAGTATCACAAACAGCATCAGTGACTAGCAATAAGGAATTTGCATTGTTCATAAGCTGCTTATTCATCTAATCAAACAAAAATTCTTTAACAATAAAAGAAAGCAAATAATTTCTAATTATATAAACAATATGTATACTTTCAATTCCAACAATAGAGTTTCAAATTCAAACTAGCCCAAATCAATGTTCTAAATTAGCAACTTCCTAATTCACATACAATCGAAAAACAATCCCCAATTCAATTATTTACAGTTCCAAACTAATCAACTAAATTTGGCCCCAAAAAACCCTAAACTCTAAAAACTACTCGTACAACATACTGAGAGAAAGTTGAGAGTGAGTACCTATAATCGACGGGAACGGGAACTTGAGATTCGTCGACAACATTGGTAGAGAAAGTTCTAGAATTGCAAAGAGAAGCAGCATAAAAAGAACGCAGTGAAGAAGAAGAAGATGATGATGGAAGTGGTGATTCCAGAAGATTACAGAGGGTTCTAGAAGGAAGGAAATTGGTGGATGTGAAAGACGCCATTTTTGGATGGCATTGTAGTGAAGAGAGAGAAAGACGAGTGAGAGAGACAGCTTGCCGGAGTTTCCGCATGTTTTCCGGTAAAGGCGTTTAGAATGCGGTGAGGAAAAGCACACAAAGAATACAGGGGAAATACAAAACTATAAGATATTTTTAGTGAAAATACTACGAAGTAATTGGTAATTGTATCAAGGATTAAAAATAAAAAATAAAAAATGTATCAAGGATTTGTTCATGAAACAAGTATTATCAAGGATTGAATATATTATTTAAAATGGTTTCAAACAAAAAGAATACATTCTTTAAAATGGTATTGGTACAATCACTAATTCCATCATATGGAATAATATATTAATGTTGTCCTATATCTCTAATTTGATTATGAATTTATAATATTGTTAAGGTTTCATATTTCATTTTTAAAAAAAAAAAAAATTAATAGAAATGAGAACTATACTATTCAAAACAGTGGACTAAGGGTCTGTTCTCATACGTTTATTTTCAGTTCAGTTCATTTCAGTTCAGCTCCTAATTTCCTTCTCTAATAAAATATTCATTTCAGTTCAGTTCAGTTCAGCTCAGCTGAGTTCAGTTTAGTTAAATTCAGCTGAGTTCAGTCAATGAGAACAGGCCTAAGTTATGTAAAATTAAGTAACCATAGTTTATATCTACCTTTCATATATAATTAATTTAGGGAGGTAATATATATAATAGTATTTGAATATACTTCGTGTATATTAATTGGTGTAATATTTTAAATTAAAATCATCTCCGTACTAATTAGAGCTGTCAAAGTTGACCCGACTCGAAATACCGACACAAACTCGAATTAACCGAACCATCTGAACTCGAAAAAATGGTGACCCAAACCCGAGCTGAACCAACCTGAAACCTACCCTAGACCGGAGTTAACCCGTGTATGTGAGACCCGAACCCGAACATGAATTGACCTGGAGATGACCCGACCCGAATGTAACCCGTAAATTATTGACCTAAACCAAACCCGAATGGAACCGATATTGACCCAAACCTATTTTAACCCGTCAAAATCTGAATTTAACTCGACTTGTTACTAACCTGACCTAATTCAACCCGACCCGTTCCTAACCCGACCCGGCCCAGCCTATTACAAACCTGACCCAAAATCAACCCGACTTGTTATTTACCTGACCCAAATTCAACCCGACTTGTTATTGAACCGACCCGAATTTTACCAGACCTATTACTAACCCGACCAAAAAACTCAATCTGATCTGTTACTAACCCGACTCGAAATCAACACGACTTGTTATTGACCCAACCTAAATTCAACCCAAATTGTTCCTGACCTAATTTCAAATCACTTTAAATTCAATTTAGACCACCTTATTATTGTTGATCAAAGCATTTTGTCTAGGGAGACCAAGTCGGTCCAGGCCAGCAAAAGAAAGGAGCATCATCCTCAAATTTAAGAGTTAAATATAGTATATATTTGTTGTATGGTCAAAGGAGATAATAATCTTCCTAATTATAGACTATAGTTCTCTAGTATATTTCCATATATATTATAGTCAAAGGAAATAATTAGCTTGATAAAAACGGTAATTATCTATTTATAGTTACTTGAACTCGAATATGACCTAACTTGGAAATGACCAGATTGTATCTGCAAATTATTGATTTGAACATAACCCGACTTGAATCCAAGAATGACCCGACTTGGAAATGACCCAAACTAATTATAACCCGCAAATTATTAACTTGAACCGAACCCGGCGCAAACCCGAGAATGACCCCACTTGATTCTAACCCGCAAATTATTGACTTGAATCGAACCCGACTTGAACTCGAGAATTACCCTAACCCGAATTAAACCCGACCTATTGTTCACCCGAATCAAATGTAACCCGACCTGTTATTAACCTGCCCTAAACCCGATAAGATGTATGACCCTACGTGACCGACTCAAGCATGACCCAACCCAAAACCGACCCACATAGGTTATAGAATTAATCCGAATTGACCTGACCCACTCTTACCGACCCAAACCCGATCCGTTTATCCAAATTGACAACTCTACCCGAAACCTCCAAAATTTCTCAAAAATAAAAATTGCCGAAATGTTTACCATGGTCCCTAATATCCTTCAGGAGTCCAATTGGCTGGGTGGAACCATCTAATTTGCCTTTAAACGACCAATTTACCAGTTTACAACTTGCACCGATTTCATTAACTCAAGCCTACCACGAACATTTATGACAACATATATAATCATATATGATTCCAAACAACATTATATGACCCTGAAATGTATCCCCTGAAATCTCAATGCTTTTCTACTCCAGGTCCCGAAACATTCGAAATTTCTCAAAAAACATGGATATTAGCCTTCAATTTGAAATTTTTTTACTTTTTTTCGCCCGGATATAAAAATTGCCAAACTGTTTCCCATGGTCCCTAATTCCCTCCGGGAGTCCCATTGGGTGGGTGGAACCATCCAATTTGCCTTTAATTGGCAAATTTACCGATTTACAACTTCCACCGATTTCATTAACTCAAGCCTACTACATTTATGAAAACATATAATGACCATATATGGTTCCAAACAGAATTATATGACCCCTAGATGTATTCTCTATAATTTCAAGACATTTCGACACCGAGCCCTGAAACCTTCAAAATTTCGCAAAATGCGTGGATATTAGTTTTCAATTTTGGATTTTTTTGACTTTTTTTCGCTCGGAAATAAAAATTGCTAAAATGTTTACCATGGTCCCTAATACCCTCCGGGAGTCCAATTGGGTGGGTGGAACCATCCAATTTGCTTTTAAACGACCAATTTACCGATTTACAACTCTCACCGATTTCATTAATTCAAGTCTACCACGAACATCTATGACAACATATAATTATCATATATGGTTCCAAACGACATTATAAGACCCCGAGATGTATCCCTCTAAAATCTCAAGGCTTTTCGACAATGGGCCTTGAAACCTCCAAAATTTCTCAAAAAACATGAAAATTAGCCTTTAAAATTGGAATTTTTTGACTTTTTTTTCGTTTGGAAAAAAAAAATTGACAAAATTTTTACCATGGTCCCTAATACCCTCCGGGCCTCCGGGAGTCCCATTGGGTGGGTGGAACCATCCAATTTTCCTTTAAACAACAAATTTACCGATTTACAATTTGCACCGATTTCATTAACTCAAGCCTACCATGAACATTTATGACAACATATAATGATCATATATGGTTCCAAACGGCATTATCTGAGCCCGAGATGTATTCCATTGAATTTCAAGACATTTCAACACCGAGCCCCGAAACCTTCAAAATTTCGCAAAATGCGTGGATATTAGTCTTCAATTTTGGAATTTTTTGACTTTTTTTCGCTCGGAAATAAAAATTGCCAAAATGTTTACTATGGTCCCTAATATCCTCCGGGAGTCCAATTGAATGGGTAGAACTATCCAATTTGCCTTTAAACGGCCAATTTACCGGTTTACAACTTGCACTGATTTCATTAAATCAAGCCTACCACGAACATTTATGAAATTATATAATGATCATATATGGTTCTAAACGGCATTATATGACCTCGAGATGTATCCCCTTGAATTTCAAGACTTTTCGATGCCGGATCTCGAAACCTCCAAAATTTCGCAAAATGTGTGGATATTAGACTTCAATTTTGGAATTTTTTGACTTTTTTTTCGCCCAGAAATAAAAATTGTCGTAATGTTTACAATGGTCCCTAATATCCTTCGGGAAGTCCACATCTAAAATATACTAGGAACAACAAAGTGTAATACCCTAAAATTTTCTAATTTAGGTTTCGGAGACGAAGCTTGTTTTAAGGAGGGTAGATTGTAATACCCGTAAATTTTGTATCTTATAAAGTATAAAAATCAGATAATATTTCATATCTTTTATTTTATATCATATTATTTGATAGAGGTTTAAAACCCTATTTTAATTAAAATAGGATTCTATATTTTTAAGGGTATATAACCTATTATAACCCTATTAAATTTTTGATGCAAAAAATATTCTGTAGCTGTTTTAATTTTATTCCTATCTTTTTCTTCTTTCTCTTTACTCCACTCCACTTTGTTCGTAGGTTTATAGCCTGTTATTAATCTTAGCTTTAACATAAGTATATATCTTCATGATCATATATTAGTCAAACCACTTTTTATTCCAAAGCTTTGAGTCATGCGTATAGTTTTGATCAACAATAGCAAGTTCGGAGCTCATGTGTAATTGCGACATTTCCCCCTTATATTACATTTATTTATTTTCGAAAGGTAATCACACTTTATCAATTTAGAGATGTTTGATTAATTTGATTGTATTATTTATTATGTATAATCACACTAAATTTTAGAGATGTTTGTATTATATTTCGTATTATTATTAAGTGTGATATAATTTATTAATGGTACCCCTTGTATATATGATTAATTATTATGATATTGTATAATTTGATTTGATTTGAATATCATATTACTTTTGTTGTATATAATTGATTGTACAATTATTTCTAGAGTTTTAATGTTGTTGTTATAGGGAGTATTGTTTTCTTGAGGTTTTAGGGTTGTTAATGCAGAGTATTATTTTTGGGTGGAGATTTGATTAATTTTGGGTACTAGTTTGATTTCCCTAAGAGTTGAGATATTTCTAAATTGAATTGTTATGTTATTTGGGGACATGTGCCAATATTGAGATATTATAAATTAATTTGTGAATGGTTATTTGATCGATGTATGAGATCAAAAGGTTGAGAATTATTATTTTGTTTTGGTTTGAGGCTCGGCGTTATAGACCTTAGTCCTTGACATGTTGGTAATGAGATAATGATCATGAGTTAAGAATGAGGTACAATCTTTACTATTTGTTTTTTTTAATGGTCCCCTACAGTGGGAATTGGCCCGTATGTGGTCTGGTTCAAAGTGTTTTCTGGTTATTGGGAGTATTCAAGTTTTTATACTTGTTGGTTTTATTCGAATTACCCATGTCCAAGGCTATGTATAAAACAAAGAGCATGGCACACTATTGGTTGTGAGTTGAGTAAAGGATTATTATTCAAGGTTGAGTTGATAAAGGTTATTTTTCATAGTACAATGTGTAATGTAGTTTCGAACTACATTGTTTAATTGAGCTAGTATTGTCTATTATTCAATTATACTCTATACTCTGATATGTGATGAT